CTGGTACATAGTAGGTGCTCAATAAATGTACATTGAATAACTGAATGAATTTCTCTTTTAGCAACTTTTTAAGGAGATGTGCTCCAAGTATTCAACAAGCTGCTCAAGGACCTTTCTGTCTATCTCTGTGGGCAAGTGCAGATTATGAGAAGCCCTTCTGAATTATTATATACTTAGAAGAACTCTATTTTTGCTTGTGAAGATGCTTATTTAGATGGTCTTGTCCTGTGACTTTATAATGCTTATCTCCTCCACTGGTTAACTTAGCATACGGGACATTAAATGTAGTCTGTTTATTAGGCAGACGTGTGCTCTTCCAGCTAATGATGAAATTAACCGAAAACCCAGTGTTTACCTTAGGCATTATTTTTGAAAAGCCCCCATTTGTATACATTTGTCCTAACATAGCAATTATTATAGTTTTTCATTGTCATTTTATCTGTACCAAGTATTTATTTTTAATTATTAAATAAAGTCTGTTAGGACTATGGCTCAATAATTTAAAATTATTTCAAGTTAATACTGTTTAAAGCAAAACAAAACCAATGAATAAACAAACAAAAAGCAGAATCAGACTACAGAGAATAAACTGTTGGTTGCCAGAGGAAAGGGATGGGCAGATGGATAACATAAGAAGGGGAGGGGAGCTAACAGGCTTCCAGTTATGAAATGAGTAAGTCACAGGAATAAAAGGCACAGCATAAGGAAGAGTCAATGATACTGTAATAGTGTCATATGGTGACAGAGCATGGCTAGCCATACTTGTGGCGACAGAGCATAATGTACAGAGAAACTGAATCACTACGTTGTACACCTGAACTAATGTAACATTGTGTGTCAACTATATTGAAATAAAAACATTAAAAAAAAGATCGGGCATCATGAAAAGCTATCAATAATAATTACTAATTTATCTTTTACTAAGACTCAGACATGGATGACATTCAAAGAAATACTCAAAACTTTTAAACTGAAGCTCAGTAGACCCAGAAGGTAAACCTTTGCTATCTTTTTCCTCTAACTTCTGCCCTGTTACAGTTCTGAGCAAAGCCACACGTGTTCCTTTTAGTTGGATATTACTTGAGTCTATTTAGCCAAAACTTGTTTGATTTTACCTGTCCTGCAATCTTTTCAGACACCTTTTTGAATAGTGCTTTGCACTTTCATCACATCTTTGTACCTGACTGGCTTTTGGGGGTGGTGGTGATAAATCTCCACTTTCTTTTGTGTTCACAGTTGGAATCAAAGGCAAGTGTACACTAGCTCATGTTTCTAAAAGAACACATTTTCAGGCATGTATCCCTTACTCTAAAAGGCTCAAGTTTATGTATATATTACTTCAAACTCTGCTGTTGAAATGATTAACGACATTGCTCTTTGCCACATGAAAACAAATCACAGCCCCTGGGAGGGTATGTACCAAGGCCTGTTCTGGGCCTTTATTTCTTCTTATCTTGGAATAAAGCAGAGTTGAAAGCACAACCCTTTGGCTTTCTCTTTGCTTGTTTCTGAGTGCTGCACTGGTGAAACAATGCTCACCTCTTTTGGGGCTTGTAGACCCAACTGAAGGGGATATGTTGGTAATACAACTAAGTACTCGATACCAGAACTATGACTGTTATAAAGAACAAATATAACTAACCGCAATGAGGGGACATTAATCAGAAAAAACAGTTTCTTGGAAATTTAAAAATCTTCAACCTTTCCTTTAAGTAAGTATTTTATCAGAAAGATCAAGGATGTCAGAGAGTAAGGCTATAACAGCTGCAAGATTATCAAACTATATCTCTGAGGAAGCTTTTATGTCTCTTGGTACTAAAATGTGTACTTCTTCCAGATGATGTACATCAGCAAATTCAATGATAAACTACTGTTTATGGCTTTCCTCTTCCCAGCACTAAGATTCTAACTGGCTTCTCTAATTATATTCCTTAATTCTGGAAATGATTTTGCAAGGTAAACATCAAAACTACCATAGGGTGGAGTATTTTATCTATTACTTTTTACTGTCCAACAGGGTAAGAAGACATGAGAACAAATTAAAGTATGTTGTCAACTATTTACTATTTGTATCATATTGTCATTATGTTGCCCATCATAATGTGGGTGATTAGCTGATTTCCCTAATCTTCAACTAGTTTTCTTATTCCTGGATAGACAAAGTAAGTTTGACTTAATGAAGAAAATGAAAAAAAAAAAAAACAGTTAAAAATACAAATTCTGGAGATTGCCTTTTAATGAATCCCAACTTTCCAGTGTTAAAAATCACAGAACCAAAAGGTATCTTCAAGCAGCCTTATAACTCAGATATATATTAGGTATAAGGAAATTGAATCCAATTTGAGATGAATTTTAAAACATAGCACACAAACATCACAACTCCCCAGAGCACAATACAAAATAGTCCTCTAAGGAATATAAACATTTAGTATATAAGAATGTGAAACTAGGTAAGAAAAAAGTCTCTTCAATAATCTAAAATTTACTTGCTAAAGATTATTGCACAATATACCAGTTTGTCCTAAGAATAAAGCAGATACCATTATTCTCAACTTCTAAATTCAGTACCTAGTCAAGTACATTTTCTCAAACTAAAGTTCTATAGCATTACAATATGAGTAAACTTCTTGTTACTGAGTTAGTTAACTTTATAACTTATAAAACAAATTCCTTAGACTTCATGAAAACATTTCACAGATCCTACAAGGCACACATCATATTTCCTATCTTAGTAAGTGCATTTAAGTACTTCATATTTGAAAAAGACAAAGCTATACAGTATTCCAAAAGTGTACATTTCATCCGTTAAGCAAATTTACAACTTTTATGATTAGTTATAATAGTAGAACCTACCTAACATTCACATCTAAAGAATTACCACCCAGTATAATGGAGTGGGCAAAACAACTGTGTGCTCATTTATTTAACAAGACTAATAAAAACACTTTCTATTTCACAGTAGATCAGTTAGTGACCTGGAGCTCATATTGGAAAGTAAAAAGGTTTGGGCAACATCAAGTCGCTGGGTTTACTGTCAAATAATTCCTTGAAAGGTGAAGGATTTTGAGGGATAAGATCATCAGCTATACCTGGAAAGATCCAAAACCCTGTATGGCAACTTTGTTCATTTTCAGAAACAGTCTTCAATTAGGCAATCTGGGTTAAACTAACCAAGCTTAATCCAAAAGGACAGTTTGGAATCTTAGAGCTGGAAAAGTCTGACATCATCTATCCCAAGGTTTTCAAAATATGTCTCATGGAATACTAAGACTGATGGAGGAGATTCTAGGTTCTGCAAATCTGACTTGAATTTAATTAAAAAATTGTTTTTTGAAAAAAAATTAACTTAAAAAACAACTGCCATCATGTAGCTGTATTACTCACCAAATCCAAATATCCTGGATATTACCAATGTATTATACATGTTTTTCTCGGTTGACTTTATAAAATATATTATGGCATATAAAATTTCCATAAGGACATTTATATTAATAAAATATGACTTTCGTATAGAGGGATGGTATGCGTGTGTGGGACAGGGTAGGTAGCATGTATGTGTAGGGGTTCTGAGTAAGATTTTACCTGAAAAAAAAAAAGGTTCTACTGCTGAAATAAAATATGAAAACCACAGAAAAATCTCAGTTTCTAAAGAAGGAACCAACAAACTAGCAGAAGGGACTTTTTCAAGGTCACACAAACCATCAAATGCGTTGCCAGGTTGATACGACAGATTCCCTGATACCTTGCCTGTATAAATATCCATAGTGAGTGTTTAGCTATTTGGTACTGAGCTCTCTCCATCATGAATGTCAGCCTATTAATTACCAGTATTTTTTGGGTCAAATCAAGCTACCTTTGGTCAGACATTTTTTTATAGAAATGAATTATTTAATTTGCATGCCTATTAAAATCCTAGTATCCAAAAATTCCACCATCAACAAGCAGCAACTTAAAGGTGTACTTTGGTATTTTGGAAAATAGTAATATCTGCAACTTACCATTAATAAGTCAGAAAAGTTAGATAGAATGTCAACATACCTTTTTAAAGGAGACATCAGGTTTTAGTTTTATTATATGCTAAAATGTTAATGTTTAACATAAAACAAAAATTTTACTTTATAAGCAAGATTTTAAAAAAATGAAGTGTCACTGAAAATCATAATTCCATCATGACTACAGTTTCTCAGAGTATTTCAAAGGAAGTACAGTGAAATAGTAGAAAGCCAAATTACCTCCTAATTTTCAGAGGTGTTTATTGTACATATGTTTAAAAGGCTATACCCTATTTTCTTCTCTTAATAATGTAAGAAATTTGAAGACTTTGAAACATCAGAAAGATGCCTTGAAGTTAAGAAAATAAAAGCACCACGAACCAATATTGAATGATTTATCATAATTTGGAAATACAAAATTCAGGATTTGTGATGAAGAAAAATTTCCTTCTGAAACTTCAAGATGAATGAGCATTATCAAAAGCTATTTAAAACACTTTCCCAGCTGTGGGAAAGCCATTTCCCGAACAGCCAAGAAGATTCCCCAGCAGAAATCCATTTACAAGGCAAAGTCACACCCAGCTTTATAGTCCTCACCCAAATTAGACAGCATGGGGGGGGGGGAGGCTTTTAAGTAAAAAACATGTAGTTCCAAAACACACTGCTAAAGTTATGAAATAATTGTGGATCATTTCAAGTAAAAATTATTAAAGGAGCAATAATTAACCACAAGGGGGCATACACACTCCTTAGATTCCAGCAGAAAGACTAAGTAGTAACATGCACTTTGATATATTCTACATTTTCAGTCACTTCAAATTTTCTCTCAGATGGCTACAACTTTTTAACATTCAAGGTTTATTTTAAACCTAACTAAATAGATTCCAGAATACTCCTGCCCTGAAAAATAGTGTTTCAGAAGCCTCTGGAAATGTTGCTGTTACCTCAGCAAAGGATTCAAGAGCAATTAGTTCTAATATATATTAGAACAGATAAATAATAGAAAAATATGGTCTAAAACAGTAGCAAATTTTAGTTTACTATAAATGGAAGACATGGAAAGTTTATCAAAAGAAATGGAACAAATTGTCAGAATAGCGAAAATAAGGGGGTAAGGGAAAATTGATTTCTCTGTGCCTGTGCCACAATATCCCTGCATTCTTCTCCCATGACCAAAGTGTTTGTAGCTCATAATAGCAACAGAAGACCTTCACCCCAAGGTCATGGCCTGTGGGGCTGGCCTGCCTCATCAGCCATGTTAAGAATATAGTTAGCCATATCATCTTCGGTGGGTGCATCTGATACCACCCAAGACTCATTTGCTCCAGTCATCTGTAGGCGACAAATAGGGCAATTCCTGTGTCGGTCACTCCTATCAGAGAGTCAAATAAAGAACAGTTTGTTTTCTTTTTCTTCTTTTTAAAAAATAGGTGTGTTCGAAAAGTAATACATGTACATGGCTTTAAAAAAAGTAAATAGCAACAAAAGTATACAGTGAAAAATAAATCTCTTTCCACCCTAATCTTTAATTCTTATCCCCAGGGGCAACTACTTTTACTAGTTTCTTACATATTCTTCTAGAGATAGGCTAAGCATGATTAAGGTTGTGTGTATATATACATTACTGTTTTTATTTATTTATTTTTACTTGTCAGTATATCATATAGGCCCTTATGTAGCAGTACATGCTAGAGCTGTCTGTTCTTTTTAAACAGAACACTGTATGGACAGGCCAGAATTCATTTAATTAGTCTCCGGCAGAGGACATTTGAGTTTTTCCCTGTCTTCTGCAGCTAAAAACAAGGGAATGGAAGCATTCAAGGTTTAGAACAGAAGATGAACCTTACATGCAGAATAACTTTTCTGATAGAGAAAGAACTTATATATGAACACTTGAATGAGATTATGTTTTCCGAAGGGATTTTTTTTTGTCTTGACAAATATTATTTTGGAAATTTCAAAAATACCACATTTGAGCCAGAAACATGTGATGCAGGGAGAATGTTTTTCTCTTCATTTCTCAGTGAAAAGTGAGACCAAAGTAATTAAATTATATCAATTGTTCTTTGGCTTTTGTACAAAAATTTAGAAATCTGTTCCAAAAACTAAATGTGAAAGCTAGAGCTGGCATATATTATTCAGATTCATTTCTGGTTCCTCAGAGATATTTTATTAAGATAATTACATGTTCTCTTCTGTGCACAAAAGTCACGATTCTAAGAGTCAACTTCTGCTTCTGGCCAATGGAGACCAGATTTATCTTCCCACTTAATTAGAACACTGGAAAAATACATGAAACAAGGCTTTCAACACATCATCAGACAACACAAGGCAATCATCCAAGGATGGGATGCAAAGAAGGTGAGCCCTATAACTGCCAGCTTATTGCCTTGAGAGGTTTTAGGCTGCAGAGTAAACAGAAGAAGTCCAGATGGAGCCTGGCAGACTCTCTGAGTTGAAGAGACACAGCTGAGACTCTCAGGAGGCCAAGGCAGCTAGAGTTCACAGGGCAGAGTACCGAAGTACTTAAGTGCAAAAAGCTGCATAAAGGGAGAATTCTGGAATCTACTGAAGGTCCCCCTAGAGTATATTCGGCAGTCATGATCAATATGTGCATGTGAGGAAACTACCTGAGGCTCAGGAATCACCCAAAAGGATTTGAAGGAACAGTACCCAAAACTCATACAGGGCTTGGGATATTGCCTGCTCACCAGACAGACTGGAAAGCTTCCTAACTCCTGCATTGAGCAGAGTACTCTGAAGGGTCCTGCCTCATTAGGGGGGCATAATTAGCTCTCAACTAAACACTGCTCTGGTCCTGCCTAACAAATCATAAAAGCAAGACCCAAAAGGATCAAACTGTTTCCAAGTAACTATATTCCAGAACAAAGCTCACAGATATTTATAGCAATACAAAAATATCCAGTACCCAAAAAGGTAAAAATCACAATGTCTGGCACTCAGTCAAGAACTACCAGGCATAAAAAGAAACACAAAAATACAACCCCAAATGAAGAGGAAAAAAATCAAAACCAATCAAAACCAAGTGAACACAGATGTTAGAACTAGCAGGCAAGAAGATTAACAGTTATCATATCTGTAGTCTACGTACTAAAAACATTAGAAGACAGAACAAACATGAAATAGAGGCATGGAAGACATTTTAAAAACTCGAACTTCTTGATGTGAAAACTGTAATATCTGAAGCAAAAAATACACTGGATTGGACTAATGATAAGTTAGACATTGCAGAAAGAAAGACTGGTGAATTTGAAAAGACAGTAATTTTAACTATCCAAAATGAAACACAGAGGAAATTATTTCAAAAAGGAAAATAACAGCAATGAACCATGGGACAGCTTGAAGTGATCTAATATATGTGTAATTTGAGTCCCAGAAGAAGGGAGAGGACAGAAAAAAATACTTAAGAAAATAATGGCTCAAAATTTTTCAAAACTGATGATACAATAAACCTACAAATCCAAGAAGCTCAATGAACCCTATGCACAAGGAACATGAAGATTACTGGAAGGCATATCATAATCAAACTGCTCAAAATTAATGATAAAGAAAAAATCCTTAAAAGCAGCCAGAAAGAAAAATGGTAACACTACCAGGGATTCCCTGGTGGCTCAGTTCGTTAAGCCTCTGACTCTTGGTTTCAGCTCAGGTCACGATCTTGGGGTCCTGGGATTGAGTCCTACATGGGCTCTGCACTCAGTGGGGAGTCTGCTTGTTTCTCTCCCTCTCCATCTGCCCCATGATTTTTCTCTCAAACAAATAAATCTTAAATTAAAAAAAAAAACAACAACACATTACCTACAGGGCCAAAAAGATAAGTGTTGATAGCATATTTCTCATGGGAAATAAGGTAAGAAAAATGAGGGTGGAGCAACATCATTAAAGTACTGAGAGAAAAAATAGTATCAATCTAGAATTCTATATCCAGAAAAAATATTTTCGAAAAAGGATGTTCAGACATTCAAGAAAGTCCTATGGAATCTACAAAAAAGCTATCAGATCTAGTAAATGGGTTTAATAAGTTTGCAGAATGTAAGATTGATACATAAAAATCTATTGTATTTCTAAATACTAGCAACCACTGATCAGAAATTGAAATATACTATTTAAATTGTATAAAATTCAAAGTAATTAGGGATAAATCTGTCAAAGATATGCCATACTGAAAACTACAAAAATTGATGAGAGAAATGTGAGAAAACCTAAATAAATGAAGAAATATTCTGGGTTTATAGATTGGAAAACCGAATATTCTTTTTTTTTTTTTAAACCAAATATTCTTAAGAAAACTCTCTTCAAATCAATCTATTTATTTAATGCAATTCCAACCAAATTCCTTACAGCTTTTTTGGTAGAAACTGACAGACTGACTCTAAAACTCATTTTGAAATGCAAAGAATTAGAATAACCAAAACAACTTTGATAAAGAACAAAGTTGGAGAGCCTACACTCCCTAATTTTAAGACTCGATTCAGAAAGCTACATTAGGCAAGGTAGCATGGTATTGGTATGACATAAACAGATCAATGGAACAAAATAAGAGTCCAGAAACAGACCCACATATATTTCAGCAACTGATTTCCAGTAAAGGTTAAGGGGCAATTTAGTGAAGAAAAGATGGTCTTTTCAACAAAACGTGCTGGAGCAACTGGATAGCCATTGGCAAACAAAGAATTTTGATTGATACCTCACACCATCTATAAAAAATTAACTCAAAATGGATCACAGACCTAAATGTAAAACCTAAAACTTATAAAACTTCCCAAAGAATAGAAGAAAATCCTCGTGACCCTGGGTTAGACAGATTTCTTTGATATGACACTAAAATCACTATGCATAAATCATAAATCAGACTGATAAATTGGACCTCATCAAAATTAAAAACTCGTATTCTTTCAAAGAGATTCCTAAGAGAACGAAAAGACAAATCACAAAGTGAGAAAACATATTTGTCAGTCATATATCTGATAAAGGACATGTATTCATAATATAGAAAGAATTCTAAAACTTCACCTGATCTTAGCCAAAAGGCCAAGAAGCAATAGAAAGAATTCTAAAACTTAATATGAAAACAACCCAATAAGGAAATGGGCAAAAGATGTGAATGGCCACTTCACCAAAGAAGACATACAGATTTGGCATATGAAAAGATGCTCATCATCATCAGTCAGTAGGGAAATACAAACTAAAACTACAATAAGAATGAATACTACTACACATCTATTAGAATGGCTAATATTAAAAGGACTGACCATACTTACCAGAGAAGAGGTGGGTAGGGTGATGGGTGAAAGAGGTGAAGGGGACTAGGAGTATACTTATCTCGATGAACACTGAGTAGTACGTGAAACTATTAAATCCATATATTGCACATCCAAAGCTAACACTGATATTAACTACACTGGAATTAAAATTAAAAAAAAAAAAAGAGTCTACCCTACTAAGTATTGGCAAAGTTGTAGAACAACTAGAACTCTCATACGTTACTGGTGGGAGTGCAAAATGGTACAAGCACTTTGGAAAACAGCTGGCAGTTTCTTAAAAAGTTAAACATATATCCACCATATGATCTAGACATTCTTCTTCTAGGTATTTAATCAAGAAAAAACCAAAATATATGTTCATAGAAAGACCTGTCCACAAAAGTATATGGTAGCTTCATTTGTAATGGCCAAAATTGGAAACAACACAATATCCATTACAGGTGAATAGATAAACTATGATATACAATGAATGCTACTCAGCAACAAAAAACCTGGAACTACTGTGGGGTGCCTGCATGGCTTAGTTGGTCGAACATCCAACTTTTGATTTTGGCTGGGGTCGTGATCTCAGGTTCGTGGGATCGGGATTCTCTCTCTACTCCTCCCTCTGCCCCTACCCCCTGCTCAAGCTCATTCTCTCTAATTAAATAAATAAAATCTTAAAAAAAGGGATTACTGATAACATGCTACAATATGGATAAAATAATTATGCTGAATGAAAAAAGAGCACATGCTATATGATTTCATTTATAAAAATTCTAGAAAATCCAAATTACTTTATAGTGATCGAAAGCAGGTTAGTTGTCTAGAGACTGGAAGGAAGGGTTGGGAAGAAGACTTTACAGTGGGGCACAAAGTAACTTTTGGGGTGATCAATTTGTTCATTATCTGGACTGTGATTTTTTTATGGGTGTATACAGGTGTTAAATCATATCAAATTATACTTGAAATATATGTAGTTTATTGTATGTCAATTATAAAGCCACCTAAAGGCTTCACTCTTATTTTGTAAAATAATGAACTTGACTAGCTGATCTCTAAAGTTCCCTCCAGGTCCAGTAATCAGTATTCAAGGATTCATGTTATTCCTTTTCATCACATACAGAGGAAAAAATATAGAAATGAGGAAAATGAAGAAAAAGGGAAGCTTGCGATTCTAGCCAAGTCAGGCACAAATCTTATATCAAAAGTAAACTGTTAAAACTAAGACACATTGCCACATTTTATAAACTTTAAATACAAAAATATTTTTAACTGGAGGAGGAAGCATGTCATACATTTCAAAGTACTAAAGAACAAAATCTCTTATATACTTAACCACAATATTTTTGTCTTTTTTGAAGTTTATTCATGTACACTTTCCCATTTGACCTTTGCCTATCCCATGAGGGTAGCAGATAACTTACCATTTATCAATGCATTTCTGACAAAAGCTGTGAGCACAAGGCAGGATGAGGTCAGCTCGACCATCCATACAGATACAACACTCCTCCTCATCAGTCAGCTGCTTCACCCTGCAATGTGAAAACTGAGCTGGAGCAATAATATTCTCTGTTGTTATCATGCTTTAAACTTTGTCTCCATTGCCTTAGAAAGCATTATCAAACATCTATGTACCTTCAATATAAAGCAAAACATGACTCATGCAAAATCAGACTAAATTAACAATTTTTTGGGATAGCAAATATATTTAGGGAATAAGTACGAAGAGGTACAAATTTCATAAAGAAAAACTGGATAATAGATACTGTGAATATTAAAAAGAATATACAAACAAAAATTGGAAATACTCAGGTCTTTCAGAAAGTAACAGCCCATTTTAATCATATCACATTTATATAAATAGATTCAACTGATAGATTTACTTGTCATGCAGGATACAAAGCTCTGTAAAATATGGACCTTGCCCTTGGACCTTACCATGCTGATGCTGATAATGGGCATATAAATGAAAGAATAACTTAGTCTTAATAATCAGGTGCTACAGTAAATACAAAGGGTAGGAAGTCTCTTGTCCTTAAGGAACCCTTTTGGAAGAAAAGGATGTTGAGCCTTCTACTTCAGCCTCAGTGTAGGGTGCCCCTGAGTGAGTCGAGTGCCTTTGCATATGGTGTTTTCCCTTCCTGGAATATCCTTGTGAGTTTGGTAAACTGTAACCTCAGTAACTCAGCTCAAAATATCTTCTCTGTGCTCTAAAAACCAACATTTGCCTCAATTAAAGGACTTAAATATTGAATTTTAATTGGCTGTTAATTGGTTGGTCTATCTACAAACTCTAAGTTCTTTGAATATAAGCAGTTTGTCTTAGGTTCTCAGTAAATGTTTCTTGCAATGATTTTAATTTGCTTTTATCCTTCATGGTCTTCTACAATTTTCAGGTTTTCTTCATCAAGCATGTGTTACTTTCATAATTATGTAAGATTTAAATGTTTTGGTGTGCCTAGGTGGCTCAGTCGGTCAAGCGTCTGCCTTCAGCTTGGGTCATGATCCCAGCGTCCTGGGATTCAGCCTTGCATCAAGCTCCCTGCTCATCAGGGTGTCTGCTTCGCTCTCGCCCTCTGCTGCTCCCCTTGCTTGTTCTCTCATAAATAATAAATAAAAATCTTTAAAAAATTAAATATTTCAAAAGTATAGTCACTTGACTATAAACTTCTTAAAGGAAGGAGGTATCTCTAATATGTTTTTATTCCCTGCTGTGCTTATACAAGACATTGATATTCCACTTTAAAATTTGTCAATTTGAACATTAAAAAGAATATAAGCAAATGTCAAATATACAAGTAGTAAGTGCTAAGAAGGAACAAATGAGTATTTCAAATTTGTTGGAAAGATGAGATTGAAAAGTGACAGAACTTTGATAGCCAGAGGACATTCTAGGTGAATAAATAAAGTTGTGGAGGTAGGAAAAAAAAATCCCAAAACCTCTGATGCATGTGTGTAACAAAGACGTGGCATGATGCTCCAGGGAGAAAACTGAGAGCAAATGTTGCTTAAATATAGGAGAGATGATCTGATCCTTGAATGTCAAAATAATATGTTTAAACTTGTTCTGATAGGCAAACTAGAATCAGAGTTTGATCAAAAGAAAAGTGAACCCCCACTGAAATAATACTTCAGGAAGATTAATTGGGAGTGCAGATAGGGACATTCTAGAGGGAGGAAAACCAATCAGATTCTTACTTCAGCAGCAATTCACCTGGGAGAAAATTAGGGCCTGGTAAAGGGCCATTGCAAAAGACAAATCAGGATGTTTTAAGAGATTAAACTGATGACAAAAGAATATAGCCACTGAATCAAAGTGGGGAAACTGAGAAAACCTAGATATACATGCATCTCATTTTCTAGATATACTCAGTTCAACGTTTAAGCATCTCTTAGGTGCTACATTCTGTACCAGACCCAGATGAACTGGAGTCTGCTTCTGAGGAGCTTACAATTTACACCTAAGGAAGGTGTCAGTAGAAGACACTATAACTGAACCCATAAAGAGGGACAGAGTTCTGAAGGTTAGAATTTAAAAGTGAGGAGCAGAGGGCTATGAAGAAGAGCATCACTTTGGACAGAAGTAAAAGAAAGAACAGGAAACACAGAAGCAGCCAGTAGAAACTGTACAATGTTTACTTGATTTTGTGCTAGTAGTACAGTAGCCAGAAGAAGGAAGGAGAAAAGGTCTTGCTCTATTTGTCCTTGTTAGACCACTTGTAGAATGGAGTATTCAGTTCTATGCCTCCTACACTGAAAGAGATAGTGACATAAAGGATTTTCCGGGAAAGCCTCCCAGGTATAAAAGAGACTCATGTAACAAAAGCCAAAGGAACTGGAGATGCTCAACCTGCAGAACAGAGGATCAGTGATAATTTTATAATGTTTACAAATATTAGGACTAGAAGAAAGAATAGATTTGTTTGGTGGGATTTCAGAGGCTACTGCCACTGAAATGAGTCGAATACAGTAATAATTTAAAAATAATGAAAGTGAGCTCTTACAGACATTATTATTACACGCCAGGCACTGTTGTAACCTATGAAGCAGATACTATTGTTATCATCCTCAAAAAAAAAAAAAAAAAAAAAAAAAAAAGAGGGAACAGCAGAAAAAGAGTTTAATAACTTGTCCAAAGGCACACAGTTAGGAGTAGAGCCAGGATTTGAAAATAGGCAATTTGGCTCTAGAGTCTGTGGCTATGCTGCCTCAAGAGTCAGATTTGGGCTGTTGTGAGGAACATAATGCAAAAGGAAAATTTTCATAGTGATTAGAGCCATCTGTGTATGAAAAGGCTTGTGTCTCTGAGGCAGTGAGTCCCACATACCTCCAGGTGTACAAGATGGACTACCACTTGGCTAAATGTGGCAAGAGTCTTATTACTCAAAGGGTTATTGCTGGATTAGCAGCAGTGACACCATGTGGGAACTTGATGGACTCTCAAGCTCTTCCTCAAAGCCTCTGAATACAAAGTTTAAGAAGCATTGTCATACAGTTCTTAGCACACATAAAAGAGTAATAATGCAGAAGTTAGGGCATGGTTGTATTGCCAGCCTGGTCTGAATGTGAATCTCAGCTAGGCCAATTTCTAGCCATGTCATTTATTTGTCCAAACCTCAGTTTCTACAGCAATTCGGCAGTGACAGGATACAAAATCAATGCCCAGAAATCAGTGGCATTTCTATATACTAACAATGAGACTGAAGAAAGAGAAATCAAGGAATCAATCCATTTACAATTGCACCCCAAAGCATAAGATACCTAGGAATAAACCTAACCAAAGAGGTAAAGGATCTATACGCTAAAAACTACAGAACACTTCTGAAAGAAATTGAGGAAGACTCAAAGAGATGGAAAAATATTCCATGCTCATGGACTGGAAGAATTAATGTTGTGAAAATGTCAATGCTACCCAGGGCAATTTACACATTTAATGCAATCCCTATCAAAATACCATGGACTTTCTTCAGAGAGCTGGAACAAATCATCTTAAGATATGTGTGGAATCAGAAAAGACTGAATATCCAGGGGAATATTGAAAAAGTAAATCAGAGCCGGGGGCATCACAATGCCAGATTTCAAGTTGTACTACAAAGCTGTGATCATCAAGACAGTGTGGTACTGGCACAAAAACAGACACATAGATCAATGGAACAGAATAGAGAACCGAGAAATGGGCCCTCAACTCTATGGTCAACTAATATTCGACAAAGCAGGAAAGACTATCCACTGGAAGAAAGGACAGTCTCTTCAATAAATGGTGCTGGGAAAATTGGACAACCACATGCAGAAGAATGAAACTAGACCATTCTCTTACACCACACACAAAGATAAACTCAAAATGGATGGAAGATCTAAATGTGAGACAAGAATCCATCAAAATCCTGGAGGAGAACACAGGCAACACCCTTTTTGAACTTGGTCACAGCAACTTCTTGCAAGATACATCCACGAAGGCAAGGGAAACAAAAGCAAAAATGAACTACTGGGATTTAAGATAAAAATCTTCTGCTTAGCAAAAGAAACAGTCTACAAAACTAAAAGACAACCTACAGAATGGGAGAAGATACTTGCAAATGACCTATCAGATAAAGGGCTAGTATCCAAGATCTATAAAGAACTTATTAATAAACTCAACAGCAAAGAAACAAAAACAATCCAATCATGAAATGGGCAAAAGACATGAACAGAAATTTCGCCAAGAAGACATACACATGGAACAAGCACGAGAAAATAATCTGCATCAGTTGCCACCAGGGAAATAGAAATCAAAACCACAATGAGATGCCACCTCACACCAGTGAGAATGGGGAAAATTAACAAGACAGGAAACAACAAATGTTGGAGAGGATGCGGAGAAAAGGGAACCCTCTTGCACTGTTGGTGGGAACGTGAACTGGTACAGCCACTCTTGAAAACTGTGTGGAGGTTCCTCAAAGAGTTAAAAATAGATCTGCCCTACAACCCAGCAATTGCATTGCTGGGGATTTACCCCAAAGATACAGATGCAGTGAGACGCTGAAACACCTGCACCCTGATGTTTATAGCAGCAATGTCCACAATAGCCAAACTGTGGAAGGAGCTTCAGTGTCCATCAAAAGATGAATGGATAAAGAAGATGTGGTCTATGTATACAATGGAATATTACTCAGCCATTAGAAACGACAAACACCCACCATTTGCTTCAACGTGGATAGAACTGTAGGGTATTATGCTGAGCGAAGTAAGTCAATTGGAGAAGGACAAACGTTTTATGGTCTCATTCATTCGGAGAATATAAAAAATAGTGAAAGGGAGTATAGGGGAAAGGAGAGAAAATGAGTGGGAAATATCAGAGAGGGTGACAGAACATGAGAAACTCCTAACTCTGGGAAACGAACAAGGGGTAGTGGAAGGGGAGGGGGGCAGGGGGATGGGGTGACTAGGTGATAGGCACTGAGGGGGGCACTTGGTGGGATGAGCACTGGGTGTTATGCTATATGTTGGCAAATTAAACTCCAATAAAAATATACAAAAAATTTATATAAGAATTCAAAAGGAAGAGAATTATAGCAGCTGAATAAATAATGGAGGTGAATGCAGCTGTCCATGGAAATGTAATAATACATAGTAGGAAGTAGAATAAATGGGAGAATGCATCTTTTCTTTTCAGAGTACAGTTGCTACTTTGTAGCCAATGGGGAAGTTCTGTCCACTGTTGAGTTCTGAATTTTTAAAAGAAACAGAAAATTTGGATTTTTGTTTATTATCTTATTTTTAGATATTGAAAACTAAAAAGACAGTAATAATAGCAACAAAGCAATATTTGGACCTATAGAATGAATAGAGCCCATTATCATTTCCCAGCAATGTCTGGCAGGGTATCTTTTCTACTTCTGCAGCATTGGGTTCTAGAATGTTATTAGACCAATTTTGAATCAACCTGGAAAATGCGAGTATGGTGTACAAGAGCTTGACTATACATTGTATAGTCCATGTTTATACTGTGAATTGCAGATCTTTGAGAGTGATGGGTGCTCCAGGCCAAGATGAAGAGGTCCTTGGCATATGTAGTGATTAGGTGAAAGGTGACTGCTATGCTTCCAAGAGTGCTCATGTGATTCTTGCTCATACAGATGTTGTCATCTGCAACTGTGAACCTTTGGAAAGCTACAGGTCTCTCCATGTTGGAGAATCTGGCTATTTTTTTTCTCCTGGATACCTCTGATGTTTTATCTTATATAATTCAGATTAGTAAATCATGTTTTATTTACCTCCACTTTTCTGTATGAGGTATTTCTGTGATTCTTAACTATTATTGGCATTTGTTAAAGAGTAGTTGTGTTGGATTCAATAAAATATACCTATGGATTTCAAAATAAAAAATAAACCTCAGTTTCTCTGAAATAGGCCAGTAATTGTATCCCAATGGGGTTGGGGTTGTGAGGATTTAGTGAGTTTATACATGTAAAGGACTCATCAAAATGCCTAATACACTACAAGTACTTGATAAATGTAAACCACTAATAAAAATATGTATGTCTATATGACTGAACCAAATAAATATCTCTTATGTCTATAAGACTGAACCAAATAAATATCTCTTAAAATCCCCTTCGACTTGAAAAATCTCTTTTTCTATGAACTAGAGTATCAGGGTATAACTAAAAACCAAAAATCATACAAAGGCAAGAAGTAGTCCTGACCTACCAATCAGGCATTGACTTTCCAGGGATAATACCCTTAATTCTTTCACTGAGATGACTACAACAAGAAAAAAGTATTACTTTCATTTCATTTGCTGCCACAGAGTTTAAATATCTTGGTAAATTCTATTCTCAGCTTTCAAGATACTTAAGCAGAACAGAACAACAACCAAAAAAACCACCATTTTGAAGAGAGGAAGAAAAGCAGAAAATCAGACACCTTTCTGTATTTTTACAAAATACAGAAAAGAAAAGCCTAAACACTGCCTATCATGTTCTAAAATTCACTCAGTATTTCAGTACCACTTGTACAGCCAAACCTAGAAAACCAAATAATCTTATAAAGAGAAACAGAAAATGATAAATGGAGATAAAATTTTACTACAATATAGTATTGGAAACCAGTTGGTTAAGAATGGACCAGAAAATGCGACTGTAAATCAAGTGATAAAAGAGAAATTCTTACTAAGCATATTCTTAATTTTAAGGTAAAAGACACTATCAATACAGATTTTTGCTGTCCACTCAGTATGACAATAAGACAGGATGTCAACATGTCTGGACCCACGTAAGGCTTTTTCCAATGAGGCATTTACAAATTTAACTTATGGTCACAGTTGTCAAATGGCAACAGGTGGAAGCTTTCACATGCCAAGAGTATTACAGAGAAGGAAAAGAAAGTTTAGATAGAACAATAATATATTAGGCCTGAGTAAACAAGCACCATCAAAGAAAATCCTGGCTGACTTCATTTCCTTCTGTTAATTCAGTACATGCAGTATGTGCACCAACTCCTTGTTCATTCCTGAATGGACTGCCAAGTCCTAGAGCCAATATTTACAATTTTTAATGCTCTAATTAGTCAGATACTTTAAAGGAAAACTGGAATGATTTTGCCAGATTCTTGGACCTAATTCTCTGAAGGGCTTTAATTGTCTAATAACATAAATACCTGTTATAAGAGAGATATTAATATCTTTTGTCATTAAAAGCAAGCATGGAGAATGGAGAGTGCACTCATGGAAACTGGGTTGGTAGAAATATTACCTGGTGTAAACCACTTTAATTTTTCTTTAATTTAGCACTCTAACTGAGCCCTGAGGCCCAGAATAATCAAAAACCTGATCTGGGATACAGTATTAGTTGAGATTAAAAGCAATGTGATTTAAGATATCACAAAGAATGCTAGCAAAAGTATACTGAAATTTCAGTAGTTTGTATACTGGAAAAGAAGAGAAACAGTACTTAAGCATTATGTACCTTCCCATCCAAAGACTAGCCTGACAAGATGTTACAGATGATGAGTTTTCATCAGGATCTTCAGAGGTGGAGCTCTGGGCCAATACTCCTGATGCTTGACTTGTGATGTCTTTATAAAGCTGAATAAATTGGTACAAATTCATGATCCGTGATGCTTCCACAATGCCAGTGCTTTTGTTAATCTAAAAATACAAAGAAAATGAAAAAAGAAAAGTTCATAATTTCTCTGGCCATTTTTTCAAAGTTTTTATTTAAATTCCAGTTAGTTAACATGCAGGGTACTATTAGTTTCAGGTATAGAATTTAGTGATTCAACACTTTCTGTACAACACCCGGTGTCTTCCTTACTCCCTATCACCTATATCACCCATCCCCCTCCTCTGAACAATTTTTCCCAAAAAGGGGGAACAAATATTTAGTCAAACATCCGAGGAAATCAAAGTTTTCAAGGTTTGCAAATTACCTAACAAGAGGGAAAGAGTTTGAGCAAATGAATAATAAATGTCATGTCTCCTATATTTATGGAATTCAAAGTACTTGCAGACATTTATCTCATTTGATACTCAAAATAAACCTGTAGGGTTGATTAGGCATCACCCTGTTCAGAGTTGATGGGGACAGACAACTTTCCCAGACCTAAAAAAATGAATTTTAGAGATCAGTATTGACAATTCTTTTTAATTTCTTAAAGAATTCAACTAAAAGATTTATTTGAATTCAATACCTGCATGCCATTCTATTATAACTGAAACAACTGATTCCTTTCCCGAATATCTTAAGTTCTACCTTATAACAAAACTTGCAAACTAAAGCAAGAAAATTACATTAAAAAAATCCTAGCAAAAAGTGGTTAAATTCTTTCCAGAATGCTATTTTGAGTTTTGGCAAAAAACTTTTTTTTTCTTTTTAAAATATGAAGTGGAACTAGTGGCCTACAGATTGTTAACTCTCCCCCCTGGAGCTTATATTCTTAATGTGAGGAGATATTTGGGGCAAGCGTGAGGTAATAGGTAAGGAGAAATACTGCTTTAATAGGACTCAGGGAGTCATAGAGTGGGACATATATTTTCTTTTGAAGTGATCGAAATTGAGAGGGCACTGTTCTTGGAAGAACCTGAAGTAATCAGTGACAGATTAGTGAGGTGAAAGACTTTTTTTTAGCACAGGGGATGGTATGGAATACTCTGGGAACAGAAGCAATGAAATCTATGAAATACATATCAGAGTTAGCAAAGTCAGAAAATATTTACAAAGAAATGAATGCAGGAAGAAATATAGAGGGCCTTAAAATTGTGCACGAAGTAGGTTTTGAAATGTGTTGATGGCAATGGGGATATGGGAAGGTGAAGTAGATAGGATACATATTAAGAAAATTACTATATCAACATTTCAATATTTGGGATGAAAATAATAGTTGTAACTGAAGTTTATTAACTGTTTATTATTTGAGAAGGCAGTGAGAAAAAAAATTGAGAATCAACTATGAATCAGATTCCATACTGTGAAAATGGCAGACCTATCTCTAAAACTGATTATATTTGGGGGAGGTAAAATCTATATGGAGATGCAAATGTTAGATTCTTTGTAATAAATAATTATATATGAGATAGAGGACAAATATATAGAATTAAAGGTGATAGGCATTTACAGAGGCTTGTATAACAGATTTTCAGAGCTGAGGAAACTAGGCCCATCTTCTTTTATAACTGCACACTTCAGAAGAAATAAGGGAATAAGTCCTATAAACTTGGTGTTTAATAGCAAGGTTTATCCAACTAAACTACTGTAATCAAGCATTCATGCAACAAATATTTACTGAGTACCTATTATGTGGATATTATGCATATAACTATCTGCTATGTGTACTACTCTAGGCACTGGTGACCTAGTGTGTATAAAACAAAATCCTTGCCCTCATGGAGGCTACTCTATAGGTAGGAGAGACAAAATACAGATTAGATGAAATGGAAATAAGTGTTATGGAGAAGGTTAAACAAAGAAGAGGACATAATGAAGGGTTGTAGAGAAGGCCTCACAGGGAAGGTAATATTTAAGTACTGGAAAAGGAGCAGAAATGAGTCATTTGGCTATCTGGGGGAGATCATTCCAGGTTGGAAGAAAAGTAAGGGCAAAGACTGTTAGGTAGAAGTGCACCTAGTGAGGAGCACAAGGAGTCTAGCAAGGAGCTCAGGGTGGCTGGACTAGAATGAGAGAGGGAAGGAGAGTGGTAGAAGATAAGGAAGGGTAGGGGGATGAGGTGGAGACAGAACATATAGGACTTCACTTAATCATAGTAGTAACTTTGGCTTTTACTCCAAATGCATGGGAAGTCACTGGAAAGTTTTGAGCTAAGGAGTAATATGATTTGATTTCATTTCATATTATGTAAGTGGAACAGGCTGGTTGTTGTACGGAGACTAGATAGAATAATAAGAACAAGAGCAGAAGCAGGGAGACCAGTTAGGGGGTGGTAGTAGTGGAGATGGTGAAAACTGGTCATATTTTTAATACATTTTGAAGAAAAACCTGTCAGGATTCACTTATGGATTGACTGTGGGATAGGAGAGAAAAAGAGAAGAGTAGCTGGTGCCAAGATTTTGGTCTAAGTAACAAGATGGATGAAAATAATACAATCATGAAGTTTAATAGCCATCTTAGTCCATAATTTTAATTAGCCCATTAATCTTTCTAATATTACCATAAAATATTTCATTTAAACATCATTTGGATTATTTTTATTTTTTATTTTTTTTATTTTTTATTTTTTTTAAATTTATTTTTATTTTTTATTTTTTTTATTTATGATAGTCACAGAGAGAGAGAGAGAGAGGCAGAGACATAGGCAGAGGGAGAAGCAGGCTCCATGCACCGGGAGCCCGACGTGGGATTCGATCCCGGGTCTCCAGGATCGCGCCCTGGGCCAGAGGCAGGCGCCAAACCGCTGCGCCACCCAGGGATCCCTGGATTATTTTTAATAATGAATCAAATATTGTTTGAAGATAATCATTATAGTAGATGGCAAACAGTCAAGATAAGGTCTTTTTGTAAATACAGAAGGTTACGGTATAGTTGTTTAGTTGCTTAAGATGAAGAAATATGAAGTTTCCTCTCAGTTTTTCATATTGGATTTCAACTCTTTTTTTCTAATATCAACACTGACTTCTCATAGATTCTTTCAAAAAGAACCCAGGGAATGAAAATAAAACATTTCTTTAGAGCAGATTTTTTTTTTAATGATTTTATTTATTTACGAGAGACAAAGAGGCAGAGATACAGGCAGAGGAAGAAGCAGGCTCCCTGTGGGAAGCCTGATGTGGGACTCGATCCTAGGACCCTGGGATAATGGCTCAAGCCAAAGGTAGATGCTTAACCACTGAGCCACCCAGATGCCCCTAGAGTAGACTTAAAATCAAGAAAAACTACACAAATGAGAGCTCTGTTGCTTATCTGAGGGAGAGAAACTCAAGCACACTCTGCACTCAGTTTGAAGCCTGTTGCAGGGCTTGATCCCATGATCCCGAGATTGTAACTTGAGTTGAAATCAAAAGTTGGCCACTTAACTGACAGAGCCACCCAGGCATCCCTGCCTATATCTTTAAAACTTGTTCTTTTCTATTTAGAATCTTAAGGAAGGTGTTTTATCACACACAGATGTAATGGTTAGAGATACTAAGGTGCAAAGAATTTGACTAATAGTAAATAAAACATCTTAAACATTAATTCCATGTTTGCTAAAGAGGAGCAACAGAATACCAAGGGATCAGATACCAGATATTTGTATTCCCACAGCTCTCTACAATTTATACTGGCATCTTTGATATCAGCTGAGTACTTTATGAGGTAAAGATGGAGAGAGAATGTAATTTTGGTATTATACTGTATCAATCAACAAGGAAAAACTTCAATCTATCTTAGTCATTTAAAATGAGTATTTCCTCTGTAGATTTTTGTTCACTCAACATATACTGAGTTCCTACCATGTGCAAAGCAGTACAGGCCATAAGAAATACAAGGATGAATCTAGATAGAGTGCCTGCCTTCAGGAGTTTCCTATCTACTAGGAGAGCTAAGAATGCAAATAATTTTATTCTTAATGTAGAATTTAATTCTGAAGTATAAATAAAATGCTATTGGAGTTTAGAAAAGGTAGGAGAATTTGTAGTGAAGACTTTATGGATGAGATGGGATTTGAGTTGGACCTTTAAAGAGCCATCAAATTTAGCCATGCAGAAATAAAAAGGTGTGGCAGAAACTATTAGCTGATTACCCACACACTGTTCCCATTTTTCATTGCCAGCAGCGCCCTGATTTTGTTTTGGTGTCTACCACTCCCTAAAATGACTCACAAGTCAGTCCTTGTTAATCTAACCTACATCAATCGTAGTAACCGCAGCTCCTCGGTCAGTGTGTAAGAAAGGGACATGAGCTAATAGTGATCCAATGAGTTGAGAAGAAAGATCTGCTAGGTCTTTGAATTAACCAATCCAGGAGCTGCTTTATATCAGGATTTCTTAATAAGTGAGAAAATACATACCATTTTTCTTTAAACTAGTGTAACAGGAGTTTTCTGACTTGTACCTGATGGCAACTTAAATGACAGAGGAATGGACATTCTAGTTGAGGGAACTCTGAGCAGAGTCACCGAGGTGGGAAAGTAACAGCTATAAGGCCTTCAATTAGTTAAAGCCTCGTCAGACTGTGGAGTGCAAAAGGTGATAGTGGTAAATAAAACAGAAAAGATAGGGGCAACCCGGGTGGCTCAGCTGTTTAGTGCCGCCTTCAGCCCAGGGTGTGATTCCGGAGACCCCGGATAGAGTCCCATGTCGGGCTCCCTGCATGGAGCCTGCTTCTCTGTCTCTGCCTCTCTCTATCTGTTCTCATGATTAAATAAATAAATATTTTTTAAAAAACGGAAAAGATAGTTTGGATTGATAGACTGTTGAGGATCTTGAATGTCAGGTTAAAGAGCTGGGACTATTTTGTAGCCAATGAAGAATTGTTGGGGAGTTTTTAATAGGAAAGTCATCTGATGAGAGTTGTGCTTTAGAAAGGTTATCTCGATTAGAATTAGGAGAAGAGTCAGGAGGTGTGGAGATTAATCACAGAATCCAAGGTAATCTGATTGAGAAGAGGAGCCTTAACTATAGTTACAGTCTCCTAGAAGGCACGGCATTTGTCTTATGAATAGACTGGAAGTGAAACCTGGGTAGAGGTAAAATTGACAAGATCAGGTAGCTAATTACTATGCAGAAGGCAAGAAAAGGAGTCAGAATGTATATTTTTCAGAAACAACCTTTGTGACTAGAGTTCTTATAAATTCACCTTGTGTCCTTTGAAGTTGACTTTCAAATAGTCCTGAACATTATGTGCAGTATAAATTTGTTGTGGGATGATGGGAATATGGATATACTGAGCCTATCTGAATGGGTTTTATAAGTTTTTAGCTCAGTTCTTCATTTCTTCTTTACTTTATTCCTTTGCAAAGTCAAAAGTTGCAGATTTCCAGAGTTCTTTTGAGAGTACGTGTATTTATAACACTGTAAGAAGGAAAAACCCTAATGAATTTAACATAAATATAAACCCAAAAATAAAGACAAGCAAAAAACCAGAAAATGGAAAAAACATGTGATTGGTGTACAAGTTGTGAATCTAGGAATTGAAGTATAAATAACAGGATGTTGGATCAAGCTGTCGGTATTTCAATGTGTGTTCTGTTACTATGATTTATAACACATTATACACTGCATGAAGTTACACTGCTGCCCACACTAGTACCACATTAGCTACCTCTGTGATAAACAATGCAAAAATTTTTAATGATGGTTCTCTGATGGTTATTATATTGCTCTTTAACTTTGGACTTTTAAAAATAATCAACCAAGTAAATGTTTGGTGTGGATAGACCCTACATTCCACACTAAATGCTTAGGGTGGACAGATAGCTGAACGGAATTAAACTATGCTATGTATTTTCTCTAAATCAACTGTAAACTTTAACAGTACCATTTACCTTCAGGCACTTAGTCAAGTCTGGAATTAACATCTGTCTCTGCTTCTCTAAACTTTGTAAGGTTCTCTTACTACTTACGGTGATTAGAATGTCTAATTTGATCAAATATCCACAATCAATCCTATTATCTTAAAGCATAGTAGTGGCAATCGACCCACTGGGAAAACAAGCCATATTATTTGGGTAACTCTAGGGTCGATGACACAAAAGAAAAATCCTTACTCAGTAAGTAGTTCTTTAAGGGTTTATTAGGAATGGAATTCAGGGCATTTATGAATGCTCAATTTATTGTTTACATACATATGGATGGTTTTATTGCTTGTTTTAGAGCAGGAGTTGGGGTAGGAGAAGGGCTAGTAAAATTCATTCTTTCATTTTCAACAAAAGGTTTGTGGCCTCCAAAAGGTTAATAACCATCCATGTAATCTACCCATTGGTGGACGAATCTTCATACTCTATGACAGCTGCCATTATATTTTTCAGCATAGTTGATGCATTTAATTATCTAAATTTAAAAACCAACTAAAAGATGGAGTACTGATGATGAAAAGTCCATTCTATAACCAAAAATTTCTAAAAACAAAAACAAACCAAAAACCATACAAAAACCAAAACACAAAACCTAAAAATACCCAAATCTTTCTAATGGATTTTTAAATTATTAAGTGAATGAAACCTATTCTTAAAAAGAAGTGATCTCCTAAGATTAATTTTTAAGGAGTCATCTTAGAGCTACATAGGTGTCACCTTAGGATTCCACAGACAGCTAAAATCCAAAATCATATGAGGATAAGATGTTACTATCATCTCCTTTGATTATAAAAATCTCTGCTATATGGCAACTACATAACAAGTGAGATTCAAACAGTTAACCTGGAAGGCAATAACACTAACAAAACTGTGTTTTACAAATAAATGTCAACAAATGTTAATAATTAGCAAATTATTGGATTAACATTTATTAATAATTTGCTAATTCTTAACATTTATTTGTACTATATTACACTATCAAATGCGGCTCTAATCACCAAAAGAATTTAAGTTCAGAGTTAGATGTCCCTATCATTCTCACCTTCGTACAGACCACACGTACAACCACTTTCCAAAAGGCAGAGGAATCAGATCCAGGTTGTACCTCAAAGAGAAGATGTTTTTCCTGGCCAGAAGCCACTTTAGCAGTTCTGAAAAGAGACAAACATAATTGTTAATTTTATAAAAAGTCTTACAAACTAACAGAGCTATGAAACCAGATTCAAGAAATACTTTAAAACAGAGAAGAAAATTCGAAGAAAATACATGGACACACATGATCGCAATAATTAGATTCTTAAAACATAGGGATAGAGAATGTTTTGATTATAAAAGTACAACTAAGTTTTTAACATCAACAGAATGATGTTTATAAATCTTTCCATGTCACATCTCAATGGTTTTTAAATGTCTAAGAAAGACATCTAGAAAAAAAACACATCCAAAGAATCAAGTACTTAAAAGTTTAGCTGGTTTCACCTATCCACATTTTGACTATTGCCTCAGATGTATAAAGTATGAAAAAAATCTTGCTCTTGGTTGAGTCCTAATTTAAGCAACAACATACACCTCTTTGAAAAAAATTTTTTTGTAACTTGGGACTGGATCAGACTAAGATTTTGAGACACCTTAAATATACCTAGATTTTGAGACACCTTAAATATACCTTTGCTGTTTTCCTCAAGCAGAGTAATTTTAATTTAGAGAGTCACAGGATTCTAGCATAAAAATATAACTTTTAGAGGATAATTCAGTATCTTCCCATTAATGCCAATTTAAATTAGATCAAAGATAGACTTACAAGTATTGAGGCTCCCTTTTATCATTAGTCACATTCTGAGCACCAACAGAGAGATCACCTTAGAACGAAATGATGTACAGCTAAATAGAGGCCACTGAAAATTAAGCAACTAGCCCTAGATAGCAAATTCTGCCAGGGAAAGTAATTCGTCTGTGCCAGTTCCCAGTTGTTTTCTAGTTATCAAGCCATGCTTCTTCTGTATAGGTTTAACTTTATAATTCTCAGACAGCACTGCCCTTGGGAAATGCCCAACTCTGACCCATGGAAATCAGTTTTAAGAACTGAATCCAGTCAGAACATCCTATGCTAAATAAATCAAAGGAAGACATTCTTTACCATCATTTTTTTTTACCATCATTTCTATATTACACAGTAAGTTTAGCTTGTGCATCCTTTCATATGACATATATATCTGATATTTTTAGACCAAAAAGCAAAATTTTATAGAACAGATGGTTTATGTATATAAGTTCCAAGACTCTAAAGGGATGGCAAATGACATTGATTACTCTTCATAAAAGTCGAAACAATAAACTCAAAAAAGCATTCCATTCATGATACTATTAAATTCTTAATCCATATTTACTCCTTAAGAGTATGGTCCCAGAAGTAATGTCTCAAATACTACTATTTGGATAATCTAAAAAAAGAAAAAAGTAAAACGCTAGAGTTTTATGACTATATTTTTATTACAAAACATCAGACAATTCATATACATAATAAAATGTACAATCTCCCTTCACTGCCCGCCATTTCCAATTTCCCAGAAACACAGTACATATACTTACAGTTCATTTTCTATGCATTTACATGTATATTCATACAGGATCCATCCATTACATCCATACAGGATTTCTTTCATTCTTTTTTTTTTTTTTTTTAAATGAAATCTAATGTTTTCTAAAAGAAACCATCGGGATCCCTGTGTGGCTCAGCAGTTTAGTGCCTGCCTTTGGCCCAGGGCATGATCCTGGAGTCTCGGGATCGAATCCCACATCGGGCTCCCTGCATGGAGCCTGCTTCTCGCTCTGCCTGTGCCTCTGCCTCTCTCTCTGTCTCTCATGAGTAAATAAATAAAATCTTAAAAAAAAAAAAAAAGAAACTATCTTTTAAGATAACTAACTTTTAAGACATTCTCTATTCTTCATGACTGGATAATAACAGTAGATTCTATTTTAATAACTTCTACATAGATCAGTATAAAAATTGATAAAGATTAAATCACAAAGAAAAGGCATAGTTCTATTAGATACACACTAAGAAGGCAGAGAAATTTAAATTCCATCTTAGAAATCTATTCAAGAGTTAAAGATATTTAAAGATTGTAGCTAATTAGAAAATATTAGCAAACAAAATACCTCATTCTTCAGTGGTGACGAATTCTTACTATTTACATATTTCTCTGGCAAAAATAATGCTCAGTGAACACAGATTTATTTATTTTATTAACCAGATGAATTGGTTGATGTATAGAAATCTGGGTGCCCCTTCTGACTATCCCAGAAATCTTTCTCTAGAGTAGCTAATTGGATTATTCTCTTCTATTATGTACCTCTTTAGTGCTTTCAAATAAGAATTGATTTATAAGTCTGTGTTTAAAATTCAATTTCAAGGTTCTTTGGTTTCTTTGCTTCTATTATATATTTAAAAATAGCCACATAGAAAGTCTTGTCATAGGTACTCAATAAATATTTGCTAACTGATGCTGAAACATTCAGTCTTACCATCAATACTTCTGGTTACATCTTAGATAGTCATGGCATATGTGGCATATATCAGGGAGAAAAAAATAGAATGAAAAAGAACAAGCCTTACATATCATTAAGTTCAGCTACTCTCCCAAGAAATTCTTCATAAGTTAAGGAGCCACTTTCTCGAACCAATGTGACATGTTTTGCTACTTTTTCTGGTAACTTGTTAAGAACCAACTGTGTCTGATCCGAAAATTGCTGTCCCATGATGAAAGGATGTCTTTTGAAATCCAGAAACAGTGTTGCTTCACATAGTTATCTGTCAAATATACATAAAAGTTACTTTTATATACTTTTATATACACTATTAAAACAGCAATATACCCATCCCTTCAAGAAAATAAGAAAAACTAAGAATACCTTTAAGTGAGAGTTCAGTAGACTTAAGTAAGTCTAAGGTGGAATTTATTTAAATGACTATATTTTTAAAGAAAAGATTTATATTTCTATTTTTTAAGAACATATATAGCTAAATGAAAAAATAAAATTCACTTATATTAATTTTGCCAACTCAAAACCATTACACACACACACACACACACTTATGTATTTGTATTTAATAGGAAGCTTATTTATATAAATTTCCCAAGAACATTTCCTGATTACCTACCACATGTCAGACTCCTAACTAAGGACTTCCCATATATTACCTCATTTATTTCTTACAATAACCCTAAGAGGTAGGCATTATTATGTTCCTATTTTTATAGATAGGGAAATAGAGCTAAGTAAAACTTATCTAAAATTAAATGGTAAGTGGCTGAAGTGAACTTTGAACTTATGCTTTCAGATTCTAGTGCTCATATTCTTAACCACTATGATATACCAAGATATATAATCATGAAATAATTACATCAGCTAAATAACATTTGCTGTTGAATTACTTTATTTGTAAATATGCACCTTAATTTTAATTGTAAAATATATGCCAATTAAACAGGTTTTTGGTTTGAAAACCTAAGAGAATTAAAATATTAGATAATTTAACCACCTCACATTTTCTGCTTAGAAAATAAAAAAGACGGCACTTTGGCATTCTCACTTCTCCAGGTTTGTTTTTTTTTTTTTTTTTTAAGACTTTATTTATTTATTTAATACTTATTTGAGAGAAAGGCAGAGAGCACAAGTGCAGGAGAGCAGCAGATTCCCTGCTGAGTGGGGAGCTGGACTCAGCCCAACATAGAGTCCCAGGACCCTGAGATCACGATCTGAGGGGAAGGCAGATGCTTCACCAAATGAACCACCCAGGCACCCCTTCTCCACGTGTTTTATTTAATTTAGTTTACTTATTTAAAGATTTTATTTATTTATTCATGAGAGACAGAGAGAGAGAGAGAGAGAGAGAGAGAGAGAGAGAGAGAGAGAGAGAGAGAGAGAGAAAGGCCAAGACAGAAGCAGACTCTCTGCAGGGAGCCTGATGCAGGACTGGATCCCAGGACCTCGGGATCATGACCTGAGCCAAAGGCAGATGCTCAACTACTGAGCCACCCAGGTGCCCCTCTTCATGTGTTTTAAACTCAGTGTTTAAACAAAACAAAACAAAACAAAACAAAACAAAATGTAGAGTTTATATAATTTGTTTTCTAAGTATGAAGGTGATACTTCAGCTAAAAGGCTAGATCACTGCTTTTATAATCTACTACTAATATAGATCAGTAAGTTATTGAATTGACTTAAAAATGTTATAAAACATTTATTTAACAACTACTTAAAGTCTTGAAAGATCTATTTCTATGAACTGTGGCTAGAGAAGACTTGAATGTGTTTATTCTATAAATTAGGACTTATCAGAATATCAAGTATTGAAAATATAGTTAAAATAGAAAATAAAGTTTTAGTGTTTTTGTCTACGCTGACTTATTCTGTAATTTAATATTAAAATCCCTATTCAACACAAATAGTATTATTACTAATAGTAAAAGCAGCTAATACTTTTTTTTTTGTTTTGTTTTTAGCTAATACTTTCTATCACTCCCATTGTGATCTTCTTAGCACACAATCTTCTAAGCACTTTATGGGTATTCACAAATTCACTCATTCAAATCCCTGTAATAGCCATTTCATAGATGAAGAAACAGGATAGTTAAGGAAACAAGCACAGAGAGGTTAAAACAATAGTCATATAACTAATGTTATTATTTTTCTTTGTAATAAAAAATTAGAAGAAAAAAGCAGGGATGCTGGGGTGGCTCAGTGAGTTGAGTGGCCAACTCTTGATTTAGGCTGGGGTCATTTTCTCAGGGTGGTGAGATGAGCCCTGCCTTGGGCTCCCCCGTGGGGACTCTGAGATTCTCTCTCCTACTTTCCCTCCTCTTGCTCCATGCACTGGTGCGTGCTGGCACGCACCCACTCTCTCTCTCAAATAAAGAAGTTAAATCTTAAAATAAGAGCAGTAAAATGAATTACAATAAAAAAAAAATCTAATCTCTCTCCCCAAGAAATTTCATCTTATCTACTCACCAAAACTATCATTTTTATCACACAAATTAACATTCATACAAAGCAAGTTAAAATAGTAACAATTTTATATGAAAAGTCTGCTTTATTTTTAATTAAAAAATAAGAAAGCTCTAACTATAAAATATAAAATATATGTAACTTTGAAATATAAAAGCATTTACAATAAGAATTCTCAGTAACCCTAAATATGTACATTTATTTTTGGTATTACAATTTAAGTTACTGTATTTGAGGTTTATTCTTTTAGTCACATTAAACAAAGGAAAAGTAGAGTTATACTAAAAAAGAAAACTCAACAATTACTGTTTTGAATCTAAGCCTACTTGGCAGTGATAAATATTACATTAGAGAGGTAAATGAAAGAAGTTGTTGAGGAAGATCCAGGTCACCAAAAAATCTCTGAAGGCGAAATTATGTATTTTAAATATAGCCAAGTGGATTCATAGCAACTGTATCCAAAGAGAAAGATCTTGGTTTAGAGACGGTCTCTAGGGTATTCAACATTAGTGATTTCTGGATTTCACAGTCTAGTAAAATATCAAAGTACCATGGTTTGCACATTTATTTTTATTCTGAGTAAAGAGAGTTTCCAAAAATAGACAAAAATATCCCCAAAACTTAATAAAAAATTAAAAAAAACTTTTTATAACTTGAAATGTAGAAAAATATTAAAAAGTCTTTCCCAAGGCAGTAACTTCACACTGATGTATACTACATATATATATATATATATATATATATATATATATATATGTATGTATGTTTTGTCCTTATTTTTCTTATTGTAATTCAAATGTGTTAAAAAAAATCATCCTCAGGAACCAATGGCTGTAAATTGGTGTTGGGAAACCACTGTGGTACATGGCTTTTTTAAGGCTGTGGAAATACAACAGTGAGCAAAAGAGACATGGTTCTTGCTATCATGGGAGCATCTGATTCAGTGGGGAAGAGGCACAATCACACCAATAAATACATAATTATAAGATGAGAAAAGCTAAGCCAAACAAGTACAGGGTACTACAAAAGCCTATAAAAGAGAGGCTTGAGTTAGTGGTGTGTCAGGAAAGACCCTGGGCAAGCAACATTGGATTTGAGATCAGTCAGGAGTTAGCTAAATAGGGGCAGAGGCATAGAGAGGAAAGGACATTTCAGGCAGAGGCTATAGAAAGTGTCTAATGCAGCAAGGAGCATGGTGCCTTTGAGGTAATAAAAAAGGCTACAGTGACTAAAGCAGAGGCAGAGGGAGACTGGTATACCAAGAGATGGTCTGTTTACTGTTTTTTACTGATGACCTGAAACAAGATTGCATGTCTGCCCATGGAAGTGGATGGTTAAAATTGGTATGAATGAATAGCATCCACTGAATACTAGGATCAAGAATGAAATTGATAATGATTTTCTAGACTGGAATAAGTTATGTCAAAAATGACTAAAAGTTAAATCCTGAATATGTTTTGAAAAGCCAACTGCACATAGATGTGCTTAAAAGCAGCTAAAATATAAAGTCTGAGAGTTTCAGTCAAAATATGTCAACAGAAAATAAAGACAAGAAAGATGTTAAAATAATCCTAAACTCTTGCTAGAAGCAGAGGTCTAGAGCAAGACCCTAGTCCTATTGTGCTCTGTAATGGGTCTACCACACTGAAGTTTGGTAATCAACTCTTGGCACTCAAAGCTGTGTGTGTGTGTGTGTGTGTGTGTGTGTGTATTTACAGGGGGACGAGGAAGGAAGGACAGAGGGGGGAGAAAAAATTTTAAGCGTTCCACACCCAACCTTGAGGTCGATGCAGTGCTCCATCTCACAACCTTGAGATCATGACCTGAGCTACAATCAAGAAATCGGCCACTTAACTGGGCCACCCAGGTGCCCTAAGCAGTTACTCTTTTAAAGGGCATTAATCATTTGAACGTAACTGGAAGAGTATACAAGATGTTATGGATCTAGAAAATGAAACTGATTTATTCTAGAGAACAATTCTGAACAACCAGCAGGTTTGTTCAAACATTTGAAGAGATTTCATGTAAAAGATGAAGTACGATTTATCATATATAGCTACAGTGGAAAGAATGGCCAGTAAGTGTAATTAGGCAAATTCAGGTCAAATAAGAAATTTCTGGGATCCCTGGGTGGCGCAGCGGTTTGGCGCCTGCCTTTGGCCCAGGGCGTGATCCTGGAGACCCGGGATCGAATCCCACGTCGGGCTCCCGGTGCATGAAGCCTGCTTCTCCCTCCGCCTGTGTCTCTGCCTCTCTCTCTCTCTCTCTCTCTCTCTCTCTCTCTCTCTCTCTGTGTGTGTGGCTATCATAAATTAAAAAAATAAATAAATAAATAAATAAAAAGAAATTTCTATCATCCGTAATTATCCAAAGGTATTACGGGCTGTCTTACGTGTGAGCTTGTTTTCAAACTGTGGAGGTGTTTTTTTTTTTTTTAATTTTTATTTATTTATGATAGTCACAGAGAGAGAGAGAGAGAGAAAGAGAGAGAGGCAGAGACACAGGCAGAGGGAGAAGCAGGCTCCATGCACCGGGAGCCCGACGTGAGATTCGATCCCGGGTCTCCAGGATCGCGCCCTGGGCCAAAGGCAGGCGCCAAACCGCTGCGCCACCCAGGGATCCCTGTGGAGGTGTTTAAATAAAGATCAGAAGTTCATCTAATGAATAAATTTTAGAGAATATTTTTGCTTGGGTGACTTCTAACCTAGTATTTCATTCTCAAAGTGAAACTTAAATTCCCTCTAGCTTTCCTGGACCAATCCAATTCAAATGCAACAAAAATTCTAACCAATCAGACCGAAA